CGCCGAGAGACGCCAAACAAACATGTGCGACGGACATTACCATATATTAATGAGTTCTCAGAAAATCCATTACTATGATAAACATTTCTTGGAAATGTAATTAATATGTATGTTAACATAGCATAAATACCTAGTAACTGTGTCTCTTCGGTGCACACGTTTGGAGGAGAGATCCCCCGTGTGCCCGGCGCCGCAATAAAGAATACCTGCTTAATAGTCTGCCGACTATTGAGTCTTCAACTCCAGCTTTTCACGGCATCAGGGCAAATAAAGCTGCTCTTCAGCTGAGGTTTCAAGGGCAAGGCACCACGGCAGCAGAGTACCACTTATGGAGCAAAGAGCCGGCTCACAGCGGTGCAGCCCCCCTGTAGCAGCCTGCTTTGGAACCAGCTGATGCCCTGGTGCCCACTCCCCTGGCACACGCGGGAGGAGACACGCTATCAAGAAGCTTCTGCATAAGCCCTACTTTGAACTGGCCTTAAGGAGGCAGAAAAGAGAAGACTGGCCTGTTAGCTCACTCTGTTTAGACCTGAATTTATTGCAGAGATAACAGTGTCTGCAGTGATATTCCAGAGGCCTTCACATGGAGGCCTTCCTCTCTGTCCCAGTAATAATAAACCTTGCTGGCAGACTGACAGCCGGACAGATAAGACTGAGAACTAATACCACGTTGCACACTTTGATGGACTTCAAGGATGTACAAGAAGACATTGAGACAACTGGGTGTGCTCAGTTCTGAGAAGGCAAAAGGTGTGTGGGGGGGATCACATCGCTATCTTTTGCTACTCAGTTGGAGGGAACAGAAAAGATGCAGCCCAGCTGCTCGCATGTGTGCAGTAAGAGGGTGAAAGGCAGCAGACACAAGTTGCAATGATGAAAATTACAGTTAGAAATTCATGGGAAAAAACTGACCCTGAACGTGGTCAGATGCTGCAACAGGGGATTTGTGAAATCTCCAGCCTTAGAGATGGAGAGTGGTCTTGACCAACCTTACCTAATCTGACACTGCTTTGAGAAGAGGTTGGGTGAGACCTCCACAGGCTTCTTTGAATCTAAATTGTTGGGGGACATCACAGAATCATAAAATAAGAGCCACATGTCAGATCTGTACCTTGCTGTACTGCAGTGTTGCCATGATCAACTACCATGTAGCTACAGAGACAACACCTATATCTCTGTGAAAGAGGCTGCAGAAAGCATTTTCTGAGGCAAACATAAAGCTATTTGGTGAGTGTGCTTAAAAGAAGAGCTCACAGGGTTTGATCAGGCTGAGAGTCTACTGAACAAGCCCATCCTACAGCTTTTCCAAGACTTTGGAACTTTTCTACAACCTGGATTAAGCCTGTGCATACCAAAGTCTCATGCCCGCTTTCTACACTCTGTCCTGCTTTCTGTATATGATTGTTGTGAATATTTTTGATGCAAATTGAAGCAAGGCCAAATCTTACAAAAAAATTGTGCCCAATGAGATTGTAAACATGTGGGTTAAGGACTAACTAAACCCTGCTGCCTCCCAACATCCCTGGAGGATGTAGCAGGGACTGGGAATCAGTCTATTTACAAGGGTAGTTTATCTACAAAATGAATCCAAATATAAACATTTTCATTTGGCATATGGTGGAAATTTCTGCAGCCTTTAAATATATAATTCACTCATCAATTTCAGTTGAAGAAACACAGCTCTACCTAAAACCAGAGGGAAAATGAACCTAATGTTTGTTTCTAGTTAATTGCCCAACTCGTGTGCTGTCTAATGTAGTGAAGAATACTACAGGTAAGTCTTTCTGATCTTGAAGATCGTGTAATGAAAGTTTGCAATCACCTTCTCCCTTCTACCAAAAGAATTTTGGTACTACTAAAATTGGAGATATTTTCTTTGTCAGGTTTGAATACACAGAAATATTGAGACTTCTTAAGGTGGTTATCGTCATACCTCGGTTAAAGTGTCTTAAAGCTGTTCCCCACTGTGAGAAGTTGTGTTTATTCAGAGTTTGATTCAGCACAGCTGTCTGAAAGTTAATCATGTAAGTCTTATTGCCTCTTGTCAACGCGCAGCCAGAAGCGAGAGGAAAATGTTTCCAGGAGGGAACAGTGCCTCCCACCCTGAAGGGCAGAAACTTTCCTAGAGTAAATCTACATCCCAAAGTACACCCTCTTTCTCAGGGCTGCCAGCATCTAGGTGTTTTGAGCTTACAGGCATATGATGGTCAGAAACGCGTTAATTTTTCACATGAAAAGCACATGGATTTTTTGTGGCTTTTTGGTCACAATTACTCTATGTTTAGACAGCAAAAGGTCCAGCTAAATAATGACCATGTCTTTGCTTTTCTCTGCTTCAGTTCTCATCAGTGTGGGCAACAGGGCAGACTCCAGAAACCCCTTTCTTAAATCAGACTTCTTTTCTGGATGAAAGGGTCTGTTCTTTTCTTCTGGATAGCTTCTTTTGCCTGATTGCACAATTAAACAGCATTGCCCCCTGTAAAAGTATATTTTGTCCTACCTAAAACTTGTGTACCATGATACAGTTTGTTCTCAATGCTGCTGGAAATTTTCCCTTCACTATTTCTCTCTTACTGTCTTCTCATCTCCATTACACCCTCTCAATCCCTTTTTCTCCTTGTGACAAGACTAAGAAAATGTGTTCGCCTAACAGCATTGCCATTGCCCCAAAGTATCTTTGTCACAGTAAGCACCAATAAAGCTGGAGGATCCTCACTGTTCCTGGACCAGCAGATTAGGGTCATGGCTGCGATGGGACATAGTGGATTGCACATATACTGAGCTATCCACTTAGTGCATGTATAGCAGTTCTCCAACACAAGCCAAAATTAACAAGCTCTGATTTTCTGAAATGATACTCTTAGACATGCAGCCCATTCTACAGCAAAAATCAGATCGCAAAGGCCTTGTTTTACAATGAAGTCAAGAAGAAGACAACACAGTTAAAAAATGACTATGCCTTGACACAGAATGCAGAGTTGGGACACTTTTTAGGTGTTGCTGAATTATGTTTTAGTCTGCAAATCCCGGAGCTGTGCAATAGCTCTGAATTTCTTCAAGTTGTTCCTGGTGGTCAGGGGTCTGGGAGGCCCCAGCCTCATTGGTCACTTGACACCGTTCTGGGGTGTACAGCCCATTCCAGCATCTGCCTCCATGCCCTTCAGGGAACACCAGAGCCAGTCTTGTTCACATCGCAGAGGAACTGTCGTGCCATCCAGCAACCCCACACAGCAATGTCAAGAAGAAACAGAAGGTGAAAACGTCGTCTCAAGGTGAGACCGCAGGAAGCACCAGCAAGCCTGCACTTGAATTGAGCAAACTGCTGCTGTCTGATCCCTGACATCCACAAGTGGCAGTTCAAATGAAGGCTGCTGTGTAGCAATGTATAAAATTCCCTCAAACTAAGCCAAGCATTTGTCCCAGAAGTACCTAAGAGGACAAAATCACAGCAGCAATAAATCTCCCCACAGTCCCCTATGCAGCACTCATATTGTCATACAAAGCTAAACTTGGTCATTCTAATAGGCAAGCTTGGTATAGGAGAGTTTTCTATCCTAAGAGGCTATGTTGTGTTGTCTGTTTTTATAATGCCTCTTGAATGCATTTTATTTCCTTTCTAACAGTAAGAAGGAAGCACTGCTTCAGAGAACATCGGTTGCTGCAGCAGGCTTTTTGTTTTTCCTTGCAAAATACATGCACTGCGCAAAATTAATTTGCAGCAGCTTCTGATAAGAACATACAACATCAAGGTCCTGCCTGAGAGAAGCCAAGGAAAGAAGCACTGATAACAATTTTGTTTAAGCTTTGTTGGGGTGAGGGAAGGATTTTCAAGGACGCTGCTATTGAAACGGTTGCCAAAACTTAGTCATCTGTGTCAGCTAGAAACTTTTCTCCTCCAACAGAAACGGTTTTTCTTTCCTCCTGTCATTTGCAGGCCCAGTTTTGCTCTAAAGCAGTAGTAACTGTGGGGGTGCTGCTTCTATAGCTTTTCTCCAGGGCTCTCTTTAATGAGTGAACAAAATCCATGACCACAGAATAAAAAACGGAGGTTAGGAGTTTCCTGCACCAATGCACGTAAAGCATTTTTAGAGATCCACCCAGCCGTGCCTGAAATCAGTCATCCCCCTTCCAGTGATTTCAGCCTCATTGGTTATGTTGCTGGGCTTCTTTGTGACACCCCGTAGCAGCACGCCTCACTTAGGGCAGCTACTGATTTAACATTTTGCTTCAGGAGGGATGTCTGCCTATCCCAGTTTGGGAGAGAGAGTAATAGAGCTCCAGCCAGCGCGTGAGCATACAAAGACCCGGGAAGGCAGTGCAGGTACTATGATCTTCAGGCTAATGTCTAAGCCCTGCCCTGGTCTCACACTAGAAAAGAGTTTCGCTAGAACTAGAGCGAAACCCTAGGGAGAAATACCTGGGCATTTTCCCTCTGTTTTGGAGATGTAAAAAGTAATGACACAATTTGCTGCAGAGGCACAAACAGCCAGCCACAGCCTTATTTTAACTAGGTACTCTCACACTAGACATCTCCGAGGCGTATCTTTTTCTCCAGCAACTAGCCTGTACATTTAACTAGCCTGTACATTAGACCATTTCACCACTTCGAATGCCTCAAGCTTACTGAATAAATACAAAATCCCAGAGGTTAGTTTTCAGTCTCATGCAGAGGGAATGAGAAACCCGTGCTATAATGGGGAGTCCAGTATCAAAAAAAAAAAAATTATCGCAGTAGCATCTACCTCTCAAACAGTTACAAACATCTACTCCTGCTAGTTACATTTCATTTTAGTGCTCTTGCCTTTCATATGAACACTGTATTACACAAGCAAGCGCAGCTTACAGAGAATTATCAGCATGAGGGTTTACCCTCCAAGAATTTAGGACCACATCTAGGCTCAGACCTCGCTGCACCCAGAGCCTTCCTCTCTGGGGGGGGTGGGGTGGGGTGAGGAGTGCAAGCACTGCATTCGTTTGCAGCAAAGAAAGCAGGCGAGAGGGAGGGGAAGCAAAATGACCGAGGTGGTGCTCTGCGGTGTATAAATACAGGCAAATCTCCCCCACAGTCTTTTGAGTGCTAGAGAGGTGGAACCAAGGACTGAGGCAGACTTTTGTGGGGTTTGTTTGACATTGCAGTTGATTTTGAGCATTTTGAGATTTGTTAATTTCTTTAGTTTGTAATAGTTTGTAAATACTTTTTTCTTTGCATGGAAAAATGCATAGGCTACTTCTGAATAGGAATAGCTAGCACAAGACATGCTTTAAAAATTGTCATTTAATGTAGGGGTTAGGGTTTGTTTTCCAGTAATGTCTCCTTCTGGTAACTCCTTTGATTTGTAAAGGCTCCAGAGGTTGATGTTGTGTGTTCCTTTCCCCAGGCAGGAGGTGAACCGGCCGGTCAAAGCTCAAGACACAGCAAGTTCGCCACCAAGGAGCAACCCAGAGCAATGTCCCTGGCTGGGGTAAGCTGTCTGGTGACAGGAGCAGGAGGATTTCTTGGCCAGAGAATTGTCTGCTTGCTGTTGGAAGAAGAGGAGTCTCTGGCTGAGCTCCGACTGCTGGACAAAGCCTTTAGCAGTGAAGCACTCGGGAGATTTGGGAGTAAGTACCATCTCGAGAGAACTATGTGTTGTGGATATATGTGCTGTTGTCTCAGGTGGATAGCATGGAAGTCTCTACCTCCCACCCAAACCCAGCTTTGCAGATAGAGGTTTTATTTCTAGTAAGTGTTGCTTTATCCCTCCCTCTCGCTTCACCACAGAAATCAGATGTGAAACGTAAAAGCAAGGCTCTTTGCCAGACCCTAAGGCTTTTACTTCAGTAAATGGTTGCCTTCAGCCTGACTTCTATTACTTCAACACTAACAGAGCAAAATCAGTGCAAAAATCTCATACTTCTGCTGGGGGTAAGGGAAATGCAAGCACTGGTGTACTGAGGGTATGGGGGGGAGGCAGAGTAACCCAGAACATACTGTCCTGAGCTCTGACGTGCAGAAGGCAGTGGCGAAGCCATGAGAACAAGTGCTAATATTTTTATTTAACCTGTGATTAGCTTGGTTAACCTGCGATCTGCTGGCTGCGAGTTGTGATGAGGTATCTTAAAAAATTTGTTGTTGTTATTATTATTATCACAGTTGCCTGGAGAGCAGAACCCTTTTGTGCTGCGCACAGAGGAGACAGGACCTGTTTGCAAAGGGCAAGTCAGGACTCTGGCTTCTTGAATGTGCTGGAGACAGCACAAATGACTGATATGCCCAGTGTCAGAAACAGTCTGTGGTGGGGAAAGCAGCGCAGAGTATTCGATCTTAAGTGTCCTATTTACTATGATCCCGAGCACATCTATAAAAAGGCGTGTAGGAATCTAAATTCAATCAAGTTCTTAAGTGCCTACATCACAAGTATTTACCTGACAATGCTTTCCTCCATCACATCTTAACCTCAAGATTATTATTCCTTGATACAGGCAACTATATGGGAACCCTTATGGAATATCTCCATATGATTTGCTAAAGAGCCACAATCTTTCTATAAAGCATTCAAGCTTCATCAAAGAGTAGTGACAGTGCACCATAAACATGGGGCAAATTGCACAAGCCTTTAGGATGATTTTATGCAACTCGGACTTCCTCATTCACCGTTTCTCTGAGGATTTGTTAGATGCCTTTGAGCCTTGCAGCAGCCCTTCCTGCTCTGATTTCCAGGCAGTTCCCACAGTGATTAAACCTGCTGCAGCAGCAGGAACGTGTGTGGTTTAGCACTGATGCAGCAGGGCAGTGAATGAAGCTTCTGCACTGCTTGGGGCCAGGAGAGCTTTGTGGGGATAACGGGGCTCCCTGGGGAGTGAAAATAGCTTGTTATGTGAACACAGTCTTGGCTGGGCTGCAGCAAAGGTTTCACTGTTCTTCTTTTGTTATAGGAAAGCTCTATGGCCTCTTTGCTTATCCCGCCTTCCTCCACTGAACACCGCCCAGACAGTCCCTCTCCTATTCTAGCAACATTCTTACTGCCCATTTGACCAGCACAAGAGGAAAGGAAAAATCAGTTACTAGAGCTTTCATTTCCGCTGCAAACAGGTAGTAGGAACAGCAGGCTGGCAATTCAGATGCCCTTGAAGGTCCTTGGGCCCCTGCACTTTGACTGGCAGTTCCTCTGTCTGTATCAGCCTCTGTAGCTACATCTCTTCAAGTGTCCTGCCAGTGCCTGTGTGCAGGACTACCTGAAATATTTTCCCAACATTCTTTTTCAAGCCCTTCTCTAGCACAGTGACTCCTATTCCAAATGCAGGGCTGCTGCAAAAACTGTGGGGCTGGAGTCTTCTGGCCTGCACTATTTTTACTGCAGGGACTTTTATTTGCCAGCCTATGTTGTTTGGATTTCTTGAATAGCCAGGAACAGAGCCGAGAGGTTTTCTCTCTCACTAAGCTCTTTAGCACATTTACTTGCAGTATCTTTGCAGAGTCAAGGCTGTGGGTAGTAAGACACA